TGTCTGTTGTTTTTGTTGCTGTCTGTTATTCATTTAAACAATCGTTTAAAAAAGTATATCCAGCTAAATTTAAAGTCTATTAATTTTAGACTGTCTACATGCAAATCAAAATGCTCAAATCCAAGAAGTGGTATTTACTTTACACAGTATTTTAGAACTTTGCTAATAAATTCTAAGCCAATTTATTTATTTTAATTTTCCAAAGACTAATCCAGTATATTTCTTTCACTAATAATTCCAGGAAAGCAAGAAATACTGTATTAGAATTTTTAGTAAAAAGGCCAATAGAGAGAAATTACTCATTTTAGTTTCACTGTGCTAATGAAACGAGTGAAAAGTGTGAACTGAGCTCGGAAGACCCAAATGCTCCATTATTGCTGGCTTTGTTGGTGACCATGTGACAGTGGCAATGGTTTTTCCATTACATTTCACTGGACTGAGGTAAAAAAACAGGAATAACTATTGTTACCTCTCTCTTCATGCAGAATTGTTTTCTTATAATGAAATTTACTGCAGGCTAGAGGACCTCATAGGGCTATATACTTCACCCATATGCCATGTAATTGTCATAATTATCTCTATCATTAATATCAACAGCTTCAGAGGAGTAGCTGAGTTAGTCTGTAACTGGAAAAACTTAAAAAACACTAATAGTACATATTTTGTTCATCTTTAATGTGCTACTAGACTATTTTTTGTTTTATTAATATCAGCATTACTAATACTACTATTTTAATATTAATTTAATATGAATTATTGTTTCCGATGTTATGAATTAATACTATTTATTATTTGTATTCCTGGTTGAGTTTAGAAATCACAATCAAGAATGATGGCCCCATCCCAGGCATTGTTTAGAGAGAAAAAAATGGCAAACATTATGCCCCACACATTTTAGGTTAAGAGCTAATCAAAACAGATGGAAAATGCAGATGACCAGGGGAGTAGAAGATGAAAAGGTGACAGTAATATAAGCATGCGTATGTCTTAAATCATGTGTAGTACTTTAATGTGGCCACCCTATATTGGGGTAAATTTCATACATGCAGAGGATTTTCAAATTTTGGAGATCAGAGTCACTGCGCAGATGGCAAAGGTAAAATTTTAACATTTACAAGTGCTTGAAATGAGCTGTACTGTTAGCATGTCCTGTATTATTACCTCAAAACTACCGCTAGATACAACTTCTATGAAAATATGCAGTGCATATGAAATTAGTCATACCAGACAGGACTAAATTCTGCCCTTAGTTACATACAAAAGTCTTTGAATATTTCTGGGGTCATTTTGGGATGAGAATGTAGTACCATCTTAACCTTATGTTAGATGCTAATGACTACAAACCTGGACCTTGCTGACTCATGTAACTAGTTACTACTCACAGTCTTCAGGGACAGCTAACAGAGAGAGTCTAGGACAGCCGTGGCCAACCCGCAGCTCGCAAGCCACATGAGGCTCTTCCGCCCCGAGGTACAGCTTGCAAAGCTGCCCCTGCGGCTCGTAAAGCTGCCCCTGCACCTCCAAAAAATGGCCGTCTCCTCCCGGCTTCCTGTGCTGACCTGGGCAGAGGAGCCATCTTGTGTGGCCATTAAAGATGAAGAATTAGGGATGGCATTGGCCATCGGGAGCCTGCTGTGGCCAAAAAGCCTCTAAATGCATTTTCTTAAAGGGGCAGAGCTTTTTTTGTGTGTGTGTGCTCGACCAAATGTGACCAGGGCTCCTTTTAAAGGGCAAAAGGAGTAGTCCCCCTTTTTTTTTCCTTGATAACTTTGCCCGGGGTCTTCACGCTGGATCCACTGATATCTTGGCTCTTTGCCCAGAATGGGTTGGCCACCCCTGGCCTAGGAGAACAAAAGGTCCATCGCTGGTCTCCTCTAAGATGCGATCCAATGAAAGCTTTGGCTCATACACAGTTGAAAACATTACCCAGTCTTTCTAAAAATGTCTTATTGCTTATAATGTAAGTAGGGACTGAATTACTGCTTGCTATCAGCCAGCTAAAAGGAGAGAGCTGCCCTGGCGGTGGGTATGCTCACTCCAATTGTTTAGCCCTGCAAGATAATTAACTGTTAACTGTTGATATGTAAATACAGCTCATGCCAGGAGGGGGAAGGAATCCGAGGTGTGGTTATGTAAATCCAATTCAGCCAGGGCTGATGGAGGATTAGTTGTGGAATGGAATGTGATGTATTGTAACTAATTTGAGCTGTTGTGGGGGTCACAAATCACGCTACTCCTAAATGTGGGAAGTGTAAAATATGACACCAGTGCTTGCAGGAGAGAAACCATCATTGTAAGAGGTCTCAGATGAACAAGCCTCCCCCTTCCAGAGTTCAGTGTATGAAGCTGGGGGGAAAGGGCTTGACTCAGCCTGCTCATGCCTGCCAGGTGTGAGCTGTAAGACTGGTTCGACCTGCCTCTTTCCCCCCTGTCTTAAGGGTAGACCTAAAGCAGACTCCAGCAGGAGTCTTTTTGCTAGTCCAGTGGGAGCTGGAATCTTTTGCCAGCCGAGATGGTGACTAAAGAGTTGAAATCACTAAGAGCTGAATTCACTGGTTTGGCCTGGAGCCAGACTCCGTGCAGCAGCAGAGCGGCTGGTGGGAGCAACACGACCTGCCTCTTTCCCCCCTGTCTTAAGGGTAGACCTAAAGCAGACTCCAGCAGGAGTCTTTTTGCTAGTCCAGTGGGAGCTGGAATCTTTTGCCAGCCGAGATGGTGACTAAAGAGTTGAAATCACTAAGAGCTGAATTCACTGGTTTGGCCTGGAGCCAGACTCCGTGCAGCAGCAGAGCGGCTGGTGGGAGCAACAG